TGAAAGAAAGACAAACCACAAGGTATGGTTCACAAGAATATGTGCTCAAGGGGACATCAGAGATGTTGTCTGTTAAGACTCATGTTGTCTCAAGATTGACATCCTGTGTTTTAAAATAGATTTAGCAGCTGGGTTGAAGGAAAGATCCTAGTGTTAAAGGTGATTTCTGAAAGAAACCAATATCATCGGCCAGCTAAATGGAAAGTAATTGGGGAGATAAATAGAGGTAAAAGAAAAAGAAAATGAAACGAAGAGAGAAATAGAGACAGAGATGAGTTAGAGTCATTTTTGACCCTGAGATAAAAAATAGAAACATGAATCTCAATATTAAAAGTGCTTCTGAATAGAATAGAATAGAATAGAATAGAATAGAATAGAATAGAATAGAATAGAATAGAATAGAATAGAATAGAATAGAATAGCAGAATTGGAAGGACTTAAAGGTCTTCTAATCCAACCCCCTGCTCAGGCAGGAAACCCTATACCATTTCAGACAAATGCTTGTCCAATCTCTTCTTAAAAACGTCAAGTGTAAGAGCATTCATAACTTCTGGAGGCAAATTGTTCCACTGATTAATTGTTCTAATTATCAGGAAATTTCTTCTTAGTTCTAGGTTGCTTCTCTCCTTGATTAGTTTCCATCCATTGCTTTTTGTCCAGCCCTGAGGTGTTTGGAGAATAGCTTGACTCCCTCTTCTTTGTGGCAGCCCCTGAGATATTGGGACACTGCTATCATGTCACCCCTAGTCCTTCTCTTAATTAAACTAGTCATACCCAATTCCAGCAACTGTTCCTTGTATGTTTTAGCCTCCACACCTCTAATCATCTTTGTTGCTCTTCTCTGTACTCTTTCTAGAGCAGTGGTTCTCAACCTTTTTAATGCCGCGACCCCCAAGCGGTCGTAAGTTGAGGACTACTCAACCGGTCGTAAGTCGAGGACTACTCAACTGCTACAGCATTGTTTGCAGATGGGACTTTTGGCGGGCTCAGCAGGGCAGAGACAGCCTGGACAATTCCTATTGGCTTTTGAAAGCCAATAGAATTAGACTCTATTCAAGAGAGTCTGTTGTTGTTGTTGTTGTTGTTAATTGCGAAGTCGTCTCCGACCTATCGCGACCCCATGGACAATGTTCCTCCAGGTCTTCCTGTCCTCTACCATCTTCTGGAGTCCATTTAAGTTCACACCTACTGCTTCAGTGACTCCATCCAGCCATCTCATTCTCTGTCGTCCCCTTCTTCTATTGCCCTCAATCTTTCCCAGCATTAGGCCCTTCTCCAGTGAGTCCTTCCTTCTCATTAGGTGGCCAAAGTATTTGAGTTTCAACTTCAGGATCTGGCCTTCTAAAGAGCAGTCGGGGTTGATCTCTTCTAGGACTGACCGGTTTGAACGCCTTGCAGTCCAAGGGACTCGCAGGAGTCTTCTCCAGCACCATAGTTCAAAGGCCTCAATTCTTTGGCGCTCAGCCTTTCTTATGGTTCAACTTTCACAGCCATACATTGCAACTGGGAAAACCATGGCCTGGACTATACGCACTGAGTCTATTCTATTGGCTTTCAAAAGCCAATAGAATAAAAGGGAGTAGCACAGCTAAGGAAAAGGGGGGAAAAAATGGCGGACTGCGTTGTTTGGTGACCCCCGTGAAATGGTTGTTCGACTCCAAATGGGGTCCCGACCCACAGGTTGAGAACCACTGTTCTAGAGTCTCAACATCGTTTTTTCATCGTGGTGACCAAAACGGGATGCAGTATTCCAAGTGTGGCCTTAAGTACATACCAATTGCCCAAGCTTCTGAAGTTTGATCACATGACCACGGGGATGTTGCAATGGTTGTAAGTGTGAAAAATGGTCGTAATTCACTTTTTTCAGTGCTGTTGTAACTTTGAGCAGCCACTAAATAAACTATTGTAAGTTGAGGACCACCTGTATTTTTTTTCTTCTGTTTTTTGATTGGCTCTCTTTCTGCTGCATCTCACTATGTCAGCTAAAGCACAGAAATAGACAATAGAGTCCTCCAACTGGATGGCTTGTTTCTCCATGTTTTAACCTCCAGTCCCCTGATCATCTTTGTTGCTCTTCTCTGCACTTTTTCTGGAGTCTCAACATCTTTTTTACCTTGTGGTCACCAATACTCGATGCAGTATTCCAAGTGTGGTCTTACCAAGCCATTATAAAGTTCACTAACACTTAACACTTCACATGATCTTGATTCTATCCCTTGTTTAATGCAGCCTAGAACTGTGTTGGCTTTTTTTGGCAGGTACAGCACATGGCTGGCTCATATATTTTTTTTATTAAAAAGTTTTACAAAAATTACAATATATACCCCAAACCCACCCACCCTTCCACCCTCCCCCCTCCCCCACTTCCCAGAGCTGAATACAGGGTAAAAAATATAATAATCATAATCTAACTAACATTAACCAACTATGTAAATAAACAAATACAATGCGCTTTAACTCCCTTTTAACACAGAATAAACAATTTGCAAATAAACTTAATCATATAAACAAATTAAAATCCTAATTCATAAACAATACAATATAATAAAAATTCCACTATACTAAACTAATAATAATAATATTAATATTCTAAAATTTATTCATAAAATAAATGGAACTTTTTAGTCCCATATTTATTCTGAATATAATCTATCCATCTTCTCCAAACTGAAATGTATCCTTCAAATAAGCAGAAATCTTAGCCATTTCTGCTAAATTTGACACTTTAAGTGTCCATTCTTCTATAGTTGGCAAACAATCCTTCTTCCAATATTGCCCTACCAACAGCCCTGCTGCTGTTATTAAATTCAACATCAAATTAGTTTCCTTAACATCAAAATCTACAATTATACCCAACAAAAATAGTTGAGGAGTAAACTTTTATTTATTTATTTATGAGACTTATATACCGCTTTAAGTGCAAGCACTCTCTAAGCGGTGTACACCAGTAAGCAATGTATATATATATTTACATTGCCCCCAACAATCTGGTCCTCATTTTACCTACCCCGGAAGGATGGAAGGCTGAGTCAACCTTGAGCCAGTGAGATTTGAACTGCTGACCTGCTGAACACAGTCAGCTAAAGTGGCCTGCAGTACTGCACTCTAACTGCTGCGCCACCTCGGCTCATATCTTTATCTTTCTTTTAAAAATATTTTGAATGTTCCACCAAATTTTAATCAAAAAAGCTTTTATATATCTACAAGTCCACCAAAGATGAAAGTAAGTTGCATCCAAACTACCACATCTCCAACATTTGGGCTGCAAGTTAGGATACATACAAGACAACTTTTGGGGATCCAAATGCCACCTATGGCTAGCTCATATTTAAGTGATTATCCACTAGAACTCCAAGATCCCTCTCATAGTTCCTACTACTGAGCATGGTACCACCTACACATTTTCTATTACCTCAGCCCAGATGGACATTTTTCTTTGAACTAAGGAACTTCTAATTCAAGATACCATGAAGGGTTAATATGTTTTTCAGCCTCAGTTCCATTTCTGGCACATTTTGATATAAGAGACCTTAATCCCAAAGGAACTTTCATTGGTGAGCCTAGGTTCACTACTTTTCTCCCCCTTTCTATGTTTTTTGTTGGCTTCTCCTTTACTTTATCACATTGTGTCTCTGAAGGCACAGAAGTAGACAGCAGAATCTTTCAGCTGGATGGCTGGCTTCCCCATGCTGAAAGTCCCTTTTTGCTTGTTTTCGTGGGGAATGTGAGTAGCTTGGAATCCTTGAGCATTCTTGGAATATAAATCCAGAAGGTATTTTGGAGGTTGACCAGGATGTTGGATGTACCAGTATGTCTCAAATTCACCTGTAAATTGTGCTTCATAGGAACAATAGAGAGAAAGAGATTGTCCTGTAGTAATGGTCACAATGCCAGATGTTTGGTTCACTGTCTGTCCTGTACTTTGTCCTGAAGAGAAAATAATGGTGAATACATGAAGTTAATTGGGGAGGTGGACAGGTAGGTCCTCCTCCCGCTTTTCATAAACAACCTTGGTGTTGCTTGGACCTACTTTCTTGCTGTCTGCAAACTTCAATGCTAATTATGAGAGCTATCCTGGACAAATTCCTTTTCAGTTTTATATTCTTTCCATTATGCCCATCATCAAACACACTGAAAACACACACAAACATCATTTCAACTGAATACTTTTCTTTGGATTCTTTAAATTCCTTGCAACCAATCTACTGCCAATTTTCTAGGCATTAGCCTAGGCATCCTGGTCTACCTGATTTCATGAAACCTAAATAACTCAAGATATTCCCAGCCAAAACCAATAGCCTAACATTATGAAGAAATAAATTATTACTTAAAAGTGAGATGATGGTGACGATGAGCAGAGGCCACAGGCACATTTTTCCAGATGAAGAATTGGGGTACTACGCCCCCAAAAATCTTTGGAGAATGTCAACACTGGTGCTGCCACCTTCAAAGCATCCCTGCCAAATTTGCTGGAAATTCAACTTAAAGGCTATAAAGCTCTTTCCTTTCACAAAAATATTGGCTTCTAACATGCAACTGTGGTGGAGAAATGAAGACAAACCACAGGATGTGGTTCACAGCACATATGCGCTACAGAGGATATCATATGTCGTCCAGTAAGACTCATGTCTCAAGATTGCCACCATGTGGTTTAAAGTGGATGTAACCTGCCAACTTTGCTGTGAAAGACACTTTAAAAGTCTATACAACGTTTTTCTAGTACAGAAAGAAATTGGCTTCTAATATATAAAATTGGTGGTAAAAGAAAGACAAACCACAGGGTATGGTTCACAAAAAAAATACGTGCTCAAGGGGACATCAGAGAGATTGTCTGTTAAGACTCATGTTGTCTCAAGATTGCCACACTGTGTTTTAAAGTTGAGGTTAGTTAGCAGGTGGTTTGAAGGAAAGATCGAAGTATTGAAGGTGATTTCTGAAAGTAAAATATTGTCATGGTTCCGGCTGATGAACCCAACAAAGTAAGCACAGCTGAGACAGTCCAATCTCCAATGCAAAACTTTATTGAGTACATCTCTTTGGCACGGATGAAAGGAAAGCTAGCTTTTACATATATGGCAACAAACTCAGCTTATTAAAAGTATAGAAACTCCCGTTTCCCTGATAGTGCAGGTCACGTTGTCCAATTAAGCTCCAGACAGTTATTATGAGAGAAAGTCAGTTCTTTGTAAACAGCATTTGGTTGACCTTGGTTCTTATGGCCTGGCCTTTTGGCACCTGAAATCCACACTCCACTCCTCCCCCCTACCCCCCTAAGTCCGAAGGTAAGCTAAGAAGCAATAATGGCCGAAACAACATGAGCATTCTTCACAGCTTGATAAATATATTATTGGCCAACTGAATGGAGAGGAAAATGGAAAGATAAATAGATGTGAGAGGGAGGGAGAGGGAGAGAGAAAGAGAGATCTACATGATACAAAATGTGAGTCCAGAAAGATTAAAATGGAAAGAGGAATCCTGATATTCAAAGTGCTTCCAGATGGACAACTCACAATGCTATCATCTAAATGGCATGAAAGGATTCTGTCCGTGACTATGGAGATAAGTGATTCCAGATAGTTGGATAACATTTTCTCTTATCCCATCCCAAATGGTCATTTTTTTTTATTTCAGATGCTGAGGAACCTCTAGGGCAAGATATCCTGAAGGGGTAATGTGATTTTTCTACATCCCAGTTCCATTGCAGAGTTGATCTGGATGCAAATCCAACTATATTCATGGGAGCTTTTATTTCTGAGCTCAGCTTCACTGTTGTACTTTTTCTGTTGGCTTCTCCTCTGCTTTGTCACACTGTGTCACCGAAGGCACAGAAGTAGGCAGCAGAGTCCTTCAGTTGACTGGAATCTTTCTGCAAATTGAAAGTCCCATTTTTCTTGTCTTTATGGTGAGTAGCCTGGAAGCCCGGTGCATTGTTCTCATATGATCCCAAAAGAAATTTCAGAGGTTGACCAGGATACTGAATGTACCAGTATGGGTAATATGAGCCAATAGTCTGTGCTTCATAGGAACAATAGAGAACGACAGGTTGTCCTTCAGTAGCAGCCACAATGCCAGATGTTTGGTCCACTGACTGTCCTCTGCTTCTTGCTGGACAAAGGATAATGTAGAATTCATGAGGTTAGGTGGAGAGGTAGACAAATAATTCCTTCTCGCTTATTTCAGCAATAACCTTGATGCTACTGCAACCCTGTTTCTCACCATCTTCCAACATCTATGCTAATTATGAGGGTCTACCTTGAATAAATTCTGTCTTAGTTTTATATTCTTTCCATCATGACCATCAGCAAACACACTGAAACCACACGCACACACATTAATAACATAAGTGCAACGAACCAGTAGAGGAGAGGAAAAAGCAAGGGTTTTTTTGTTTTGTTTTTTACATACAAAGTGATCGTGTCTAGAAAAGATATCTCCATCTGATTGAAGCACAACTATTAATCACACAAAGATTCTGGAAAGATTCTGAAATATCCACAAGGGAGGAATGGCTGGGGAAGATGACAAAATTTCCAGAGATGGCTAAACTGAATTCTTGGCTTGCTATAGAGTGGGAACGACTGGAAACCCTTTATGGACTCTATGGACTTTTTGCTGCAAATGAACTGATGATGTACAGTATGTCTACGGAGATGCTCAGTCATTCAGGTCACAGTTATCCCAAAGGTGCTTTTTCACGAGGCAGCTGGACTTTCTTGCTTTTTTTTTTCTTTGAAGTTGTTTCACTTCTTATCCAAGAAGCTTCTTCAACTCTGACACCATCCAGTCAATGCTGAAGAAGCTTCTTGGATGAGAAGCAAAACGTCTTCAAAGACTGGAAGCTAAAACATATAAGGAACGGTTGCTGGAATTGGGTATGTCTAGTCTAATGAAGAGAAGGACGAGGGGGGACATGATAGCAGTGTTCCAATATCTCAGGGGCTGCCACAAAGAAGCTATTCTCAAAGCGCCTGAAGGCAGGACAAGAAGCAACGGATGGAAACTAAGCAAGGAGAGAAGCAACCTAGAACTAAGGAGAAACTTCCTGACAGTTAGAACAATTAACCAATGGAACAAGCTGCCTCCAGAAGTGGTGAATGCGCCAACACTGGAAGTTTTTAAGAAGAAACTGGACAGCCATTTGTCCGAAATGTTATAGGGTTTCCTGCCTGAGCAGGGAGTCGGACTAGATGACCTCCAAGGTCCCTTCCAACTTTATCATTATTATTATTATTAAAAAACAAGGAAGTCCAATTGCCTCGTGAAAAAGCACCTTTGGGATAACTGGTGATGTATGGATTACGTAAGTAGAAAGGATAAAATACATAAGGAAGGAAATTGGGATGCTCTCTTGAAAAGGATGATAGATAATAAATTTATGGATTTTTTAGAAAAAATGCATTTATTTGTAACTGCTGTAAAGAAATTCTTGTAATTCCTTGCAGATAATTTACGGCCAATTTCCCAGAAAGCTTCTAGGGGATCCCGCGCTACCTCCTTTCAAAGGACTCAAATAAATGAGCCAAAATATCGTAATCTAACATTGTTAAGAAATACATACTTACTTAAAAGTGAAATGATGATTATGAGCACAGACCACAGCCACATCGTTCCAGATGAAGAATGAACGTAGTAAAACCCCCCACCAAAAAAAACCCTCTTTGGAGGATTTTAAAGATGGTGTTGTCACTTTCAAAGCTTCCCTGCCCTGCCAACTTCGTTGTGAAAGAAGGTTAAAGGCTATACGACTCTTTCCTATTACAAAGAAACCAGCTTCTAGCATGCAAATGTGGTGGTAAAAGGAAAACCAACCACAGGATATGGTTCATATGCTACAGGGGACTTCAGAGGAGTTGTCTGGTGAGACTCATATTGACTCAAGATTGCCACCCTGTGTTTTAAAGTAGGTTTTAGATGACAACAGGGTTGAAGGAAGGATTCCAGTATTAAAGGTGATTTCTGAAAGAAATAGATAATATTGGCCAGCTGAATGGAAGGTAATTGGGGAGATAAAGCATATAAGGAAAGGCTGCTTGAATTGGGTATGTCTAGTTTAATGAAGAGAAGGACGAGGGGGGAACATGATAGCAGTGTTCCAGTATCTCAGGGGCTGCCCCAAAGAAGAGGGAGTCAAGCTATTCTCCAAAGCGCCAGAAGGCAGGACAAGAAGCAACAGATGGAAACTAATCAAGGAGAGAAGGCACCTAGAACTAAGGACAAATTTCCTGACAGTTAGAACAATTAACCAGTGGAACAACCTGCCTCCAGAAGCGGTGAATGCGCCAACACTGGAAGTTTTTAAGAAGAGACTGGACAGCCATTTGTCCAAAATGCTATAAGGTTTCCTGCCTGAGCAGGGGGTTGGACTAGATGACCTCCAAAGTCCCTTCCAACTTTATTATTATTATTATAAATAGATGTGAGAGAAAAAGAAAATGAAAGAGAGGGGAGGGAGGGAGGGAGGGAGAGAGAGAGAGAGAGAGAGAGAGAGAGAGAGAGAGAGAGATGAGTTAGAGTCATATTTTAGCCTGAGGTTAAAATAGAAAGACAAATCCCAATGTTAAAAATGCTCCTGGATGGAAATACTATAACTAAATGACATGAAAGCATTTCTGAAAGAAACATTGTTCACCAGCTGAAAGGAGAGGAATTGGGAAGAAAAATAGATCAGAGAGGCAGATGGTGACAGACAGACAAAATGTGAGTTGGGAAGAGTCATTTTAGAGTCTAAAAGGGTTTCAGAGGAGAGATACAGGCCAATGCTTAAAGTGCTTCCAGATGGGCAACTCCCAAAGCTATCAACTAAATGATATGAAAGGATAATCTGCCTGACCTTGGAGGTAAGTGGTTCCAGATGGTTAGGTCACATTTCTTCTTATCCCAGCTCAGATAGTCATTCTAGTTGGTATCAGGTGCTGAAAATGTTCTAGACCAATATACCCTGAAGGGTTAATGTGACATTCTAATCTCAGTTCCATTGTAAGGTTGATCTGGATGCAAATCCAACTGCTTTAAGGGACCTTAATCCCAAGGGAACCATTGGAATAGCAATAGCAATAGCACTTAGACTTATATACTTCTCCATAGTGCTTTACAGCCCACTCTGAGTGGTTTACAGAGTCAGCCTATGACCCCCAACATTCTAGTCTTCATTTTACCCACCTCGGAAGGATGGAAGGCTGAGTCAACCTTGAACTAGTGAGAACTGAACTGCCAAACTGCTGACAGAAGGCAGTCAGCAGAACTAGCCTGCAGTACTACATTCTAACCACTGGGCCATCACAGCTCTTCAGAAATGATAAGACTCATATGTCTGCTAAGACTCCTCAACTCATTTCTCTCAAAATTACTACTCTGTGTTTTAAATTAGGTGTACGAAGGCAGGCAGTCAAAGGAAGGATCCCAAAATTAAAGGTCCTTGGGAAGGGACCCTCCCTAGCGTCTTGGCTTGTGAAGGCATTGGGGGAGAAATTTTCATTCAAAGTTGCAAGATTCTTTTCATGTCACCTTACAATAAAGTAGAATTACTTCATCTGGCTGTTTTTCTTGTCTAGACTAAGTTGTCAATGGCAAAAAAACAACAACAAACCCATACTATGTGGACCCACACATAGACTACACCGATACATTAGGACATCTCCTTGGGAATAACCTGATGAGAATGAAGGCCAACACCAGATAAAACAGTGGAAGCTGGGGATTCGTTTTGTTGTGTATTTAATAATAATAGTAATGTTTTCTTAAAAATTATGTCTCCTGATTCTCAAATTTCTGGGAAGCTCAAGCAACAAGCTAAACCAAGTCTCTTAGAAGGGGCTGGAGAAATAATGTCATGGGAAACAGAATTGCATGTTAGAATAGAATAGAGCTGGAAGGGGCCTTGGAGGTCTTCTAATCCAGTCCCCTGTTCAGTCAGGAGACTCTACCATTGTCTGAAAGCAAGCTGTTCCACTGGTTAATTGTTCCCACTGTTAAGAAGTTTTTCCTTAATTCCAGGTTGCTTCTCTCCTTGATCAGTTTCCCTCCATTGTTTCTTGTCTTGCCTTCTGGTGCTTTGGAAAAATAAGTTGACCCCCTCTTCTTTGTGGCAACCCTTCAAATACTGGAATACTGCTATCATGTCCCCCCAAGTCCTTCTGCACTTTCTTAGATGCTTTCTGAAGCATCTCAGAAAGAAAAAAACATGAGAATTATAGCAGCTTCAGATGTATTGCCAATAAAACATTTTCCTCTCTGGCCCCACTTGTATGGTGGACAAAGTGGTCAAGAGAAATGTTTAGCTTGAGAACAATTTTGTGTGTACAAGTGGCCCATCTCCTTGACTATAGCAAAATTCTCCTATCTCTGCTCTTAATTGTTTTTCTTCTGTTTTTGATTGGCTCCCCTTCTGATTCCTCTCATTGTGTCTCTTTAAAGTTCCTTTTTTATCATTTTCATAGTGACCAGCCTGGAATCCTTGGGCATTTTTGTTAAACCTGGTCAACAAGATCTTCAGAGGCTGACCAGGATGCTGAATGTACCAGAATGGGTAATGCGTGCCACTATACTGTGCTCCATAGGAACAATGGAGAGAAACAAATTGTCCTTCCATCACAGTCACAATGCCAGATGTTTGATCAACTGATTGTCCTGTGCTTCTTCCTGGAGAGAAGATAATGGAGAAGGCATGAGGTTAGTTGGAGAGGTGAACAAGTAGGTCCTTTTCCCTCTTTTGCAAAACAATGTTGGTGCTGTTTGGATCTACTTTTCTGAAGTCTGCAAACTTTTATACTAATTATGAGGGTTATCCTGGACAAATTCCTTCCAAGTTTTATATTTTTTTGCATCATGTCCAACACCAAGCATGCTGAATTCACATACACAACCTTCGTTTCAGCTGAATACTTCTGTTTGTGTTCTTTAGATTCCTTGCAGATAGTTTACTCATTAATAAAGAAGAGTATTTCTAGCTCAGAGTTGACATGAGGGATCCTTGGTGCTCTCTGAGCTTTCTTGTTTTCTTGTAGATGTTTCATTACTGCACTAATGATGTTACCTAGTTTGGGTAATGAAACATCTGCAAGAAAACAAGCCAGCTCTGAGAGCATTAAGCCACACACACCCCAATTTACTCATTACTCATATATTTTACTGCCAATTACTCATATATTCAATGCCATCATTCCAAATATTCTTCTCACTAAATTGACTCATCTAGCTGCAATGGAACCTGAGATGTGGATCATAAGCTTTCTAACAGATAGGAAGCAGCAGGTGAAGCTAGGCAAAAATTGCACCAGATACCATACAATTAACACAGGTACAATCCCAGGGCTGTGTGCTCTCTCCATTACTCTTGTCTCTCTATACCAGGGGTGTCAAACTGCTGGCCTGTGGGCCAGATGTGTCATGGCAAAACCACACCCACCCCATTGCCGGCAATGGAAAAAAAGTCATGATATGTCACAACACATAAGATGTTCTTGCTTGCCATATATGAAGAAGCAAACATGTTTTATTTAGCCTGCATATCACTTCTAGAGTTAAAGCAGATAATACTAGCCTAGTGGATGGGAAAATATACTAGCTAACCATAACAATATCTCAGCACAGCATGCTAGGGTCAGCTGTAATGGGAGGGACACTTCACACTTCACATTAATTGGAGAATGTGATTGATGTCTGTAAAATGAAGGAGTGAGTTATGCCTTGTTACGGGTGATTGGGGGAGGGAGGATTCAGTTTTTGGCTTAATTTTGTATGTGCCGAAGCTATGCAGAAATAAAAGGATTCTTTAAGGTAAATAAGCCTCAAAGTTCTTTGAAAAGCTGCTTCTTTTCAGAACCATGACAGTGACATTGTGAGTGTGACACCCCTGCTCTATACCAATGACTGGATCTCAAAAGATCCCTCTGCTAAAGTACTGAAGTTTTGCAAATAATACAACAGTTATTGATCTCATTCAAGATGAAGTTGAATCTGCATATAGCTGGGAAGTTGAACAGCTGGCCCCATGGTGCAGTCTGAACAATCTTGAACGGAACACATGTAAAACTGGAGAGATGATAGTAGATTTTAGGAGAAGCCTTCCTATTCTACCACCTCTTACAATACTAGGCAACACAGTGTCAACAGTAAAGACCTTCATGTTTCTGACTTCTATAATATATCAGGACTTGAAATGGACACCTAACATCAAAAATGTCATTAAAAAATCACAACAAAGAATATTCTTCCTGCACCAACTCAGAAAGCTCAGACTGCCCAAGGAGCTGCTGATACAATTCAATAGAATAGTTATTGAGTCTGACATTTGGACCTCTAGAACTGTCTTTTTTGGTACAGCAACCAAACAGGATAGACACAGACTTCGACATATAGTTAGGACTGCAGAAAAAACAACTGCAATCAGCCTGCCTACCATTGAGGATCTGTACACTACATGAGCCAGAAAGAGGGTTGTGAAAATATCTACAGACTCCTCACATCCTGGACATAAACTGTTTCAACTTCTTCCCTTAAGACGACACTAAAGGGCATTGCATGGCAAAACAACTAGAAACAAGGTCAGTGTTTCCCCCCATGCCATCACTCTGCTAAACAATTAATTCCCACAACATTGACCTATGCCCTAGGATATCAAACCATGTAAGAGGGTTGTATTACTATTATCCGTCTCATCTTTCCTATTATCTATTTCTTTAGCATCTTAGGACTATAACTTAGTTGTTTGTATCTTATGATTTGTGTTGATTACTTTTATTTAGTATCCTATTATGATTTATGTTGGTTGCTTTTATTTGGTATCCTATGACTATCACTGAATGTTGTATCTTATGATTTATGGAGATTGTATTTTATGATTATGATCATGATTTATCACTTGTTGCTTGTATGGTAAAACTCTTTGTCTCAAGATTGCCACCCTGTGTTTTAAAGCAGGTGTAATAAGGCAACTGGGTTGAAGGAAGGATCCCACTGTTGAAAGTCTTTGGGAAGGGACCCTCCCTAGTTTCTTGGCCTGTGAAGATATTGAGGAAGGAATGTTCATTTAGTGTTGCAATATTCTGTTAATGTAACCTTACAACAATGTACAATTAGTTCCTCTGGGTATACTTGTTGTCTGGACTACCTTGCAAGGCAGGTAGGCATAGAGGTAGACAAAACTAAGAGAAGAATGCCTCAAAGTTCTGCTTTGTGTATAATATGAAAAAATAAGGGGAAATGCTCACGATAATTCTTAATCTGATCCTGCTTTTTTCATCTAAGCATTTAGTATCTACCAAATAATAACAATTCAAGATACAAAAATCAAAGTGGAAAAAAATGGCATAACTTGTCTGTGGTCATCCAAAGTGTTTACCAGGACCTTTGCCTTAGCAAACAATCTTTGATGGCACTTAGAAAATCAGCATATTGACAAAATTTCCATCTGTCAATGTCAAAAGACTTGGATCCCCACATAGACTATGCTGATACATTACAACATCCTAGGTCCTTGGGAAGAACTTGGTGAGAATGAAGATCAACACCAGCTAAAAATCTGGAAGCTGTGGTTTTGTATTGTTGTGTCTGTAATGATGGTAATAATACCTTATTACTTCCTACTCTCAAATCTCTGGGGCCAGAGGAATAATGTCATGGGAAAATTGAACGGCAGAACATCAGAAAGAAAAAAGAAAGAAAGAAAAACGAGGATTATAGCAGATTCAGTTCAAGTGGCAATAAAACATGACTTCTCTGGTCCCACCGGTATAATGGACAAGAAGATCAGGATCTATTTTTACCCTTGAGAAGAATTTGGAAGTGCCCCAAATGCAAATTTCTCCTGCCTCTACTCTTAATTCTTTTCTCCTGTTTTTGATTGGCTCCCCTTCTGCTTTATCTCATTGTGTCTCACTGAGGGCACAGAAGTAGACAGCAGAGTCCTTCAGCTGACTGGCATCTTTCTCTAAATTGTAAGTCCCATTTTTCTCTCCTTTATGGTGAGTAGCATGGAATCCTTGGGTATCCTTTTTATACTCACTCAACAAGAGCTCCAGAGGCTGACCAGGGTGCTGAATGTACCAGTATGTATCCCGGTAAGTTGAGCTACTAAATTGTACTTCATAGGAACAACTGAGAGAGAGATGTTTTCCTTCAGCAACAGTTAGAATGTCAGATTTTTGCTTCACCGACTGTCCTGTGCTTCTCCCTGGGCAGAAGATAATGCAGAAGTTATGAGATTAGCTGGAGAGGTGCACAAGTAATATCCTTCTGCCTGTTTTGTGAAACAATCTTGGTGCTGCCTTCTTGCTGTCTGCAAACTTCACTGTTAATTATGAGGGCTCTCCTGAACAGATTCCTTCCCAGTTTTATGTCCTTTACATCATGCCCACCATCAGACATACTGAACATGCACATGGAAGCTTCATTACAGCTGAATACATCTGAATACATCCTATTCTACCTGATTTCAAGGAGCCTAAACAACTCAAGATATACCCAGACAAACCCTATACCAGTGGTTCTCAACCTGTGGATCGGGACCCCATTTGGGGTCAAACGACCATTTCACGGGGGTCGCCAAACAACGCAGTCCGCCATTTTCCCCCCTTTTCCTTAGCTGTGCTACTCCCTTTTATTCTATTGGCTTTTGAAAGCCAATAGAATAGACTCTCTTGAATAGAGTCTAATTCTATTGGCTTTCAAAAGCCAATAGGAATTGACCAGGCTGTCTCTGCCCTGCTGAGCCCGCCAAAAGTCCCATTCTGCAAATGGTGCTGCACCAGTTGAGTAGTCCTCGACTTACAACCGGTTGGGGGTCGCGGCATTAAAAAGATTGAGAACCACTGACCTATACCCTTATCAAACAAATACTTACTTAAAAGTGAGATGATGATGATCATGAACCGAAGGAACACCCACATTTTTCCTGATGAAGAATGGGGGAACTACCCTCAAAAAAATTCTTTGGAAGATTTCAAAGCTGGTGTAGTCACCCTTCAGAGCTTTCCTGCCAGCTTTGGTCTAAAAGTGACTTAGAGACTGTACAGCTCTTTGCCTTCTCAAAGAAATTGGCTTCTAATACATAAATTTGGTGGCAAAAGGAAGACAAACCACAGGATATGATTCACTGAGCTTATGTGCTGCAAAGGATATCATATGTGTCATCTGATAAGACTCATGTTGATTCAAGATTGCTACCATGTGTTTTAAAGAAGGTATAAGAAAGCAATAAGAAAGAAATCCTTCCATTCCCCATCATCCAGTCAGAGCTGAAGAAGCTTCTTGCATTGGAAGTGAAATGTCTTCAAAGAAAAACAAGAAAGTCCAGTTGCCTCATGAAAAGCATCTTTGGGACAACTATGGCCTGGATGACTGAAAATCTCCATAGACCTATAAGAAAACAGCTCCTTTAAAGGAAGGATCCAGGTGTTGAAAGTGATTTCTGAAAGGAACAGACAATGCCCAATGAAAGAAGAGAGAACTGGGAGGATAAATAGGAGGGGGGAGAGGGAGAGGGAGGAGAGAGAAGAGAGAGAGAAAGAGAGAGGAGGGAGATAGAGAAGAGAGAGGTGAGAGAGGAGAGAGAGGAGAGAGAGGAGAGAGGAGAGAGAGAGAGAAAGAAGAGAGAGAAGAGAAGAGAAGAGAAGAGAAGAGAAGAGAAGAGAAGAGAAGAGAAGAGAAGAGAAGAGAAGAGAAGACAGATGGGGAGAGAGAAGAGAGAGGAGAGAGAGAAGAGAGAGAGGAGAGAGAGAAAGAAGAGAGAGGAGAGGAGAGAGGAAAGAAGAGATAAAGAGAAGAGAGAGAGGAGAGAGAAGGAGAAGAGAGAGAGGAGAGAGAGAGAAAAGAGAGAGAGAGAGAGGGAGGGAGAGAGAGATGTATCATATGGAATGTGAGTTGGAAAGAATCATTTTGGAGTCTGAAATGATTTAAAATGGAAAGGTGAATCCTAATGTTCAAAGTTCTCCTGGATGGACAACTCACAATGCTAAATGATATGAAAACATTCTCTGCCATGGTTATGGAGGCAAATGCATCCAGATGTTTAGGTAGCATTTACTCTTATCCCAGCCCAGATGGTCATTCTTCTTGGTATCAGACACTGAGGAACTTCTAGCCCAAGAAATTCTAAAGGATTATATGACTTTTTACATCTCAGTTTCATTCTGTGTTTTAAAGTAAATGTGAGAAGGCAGATGGTTTGAAGGAAGGATCCCACTGTTGAAGGGAAGGAACCCTCCCTATTTTCTCCCAGAGTAAAGACCAGGAAGGAGAAATGAACTTTCAGACTTGAAGATTCTGTAATCTTACAATAAAGTAGAATATATGTTCATCCAGGTGTACTTCTTGTCTGGCCCACCTTGCAAGGCAGTAGCCAAAAGGAAGTGAAAAAATAAAAGACTTTCCTAAGAATTCTGCTTCTGAAAAAATAGGGATAAATTTTCATGTTCGTACTTAATCTAATCCTGCTTTTTTCATCTAAGGAACGAGAACGTGGCTGTTAATCCATCAAATAATAATAATTCAATCATTACAATTCAGGATCTGGAACAAAATTATGGCATAACCTGTCTATGGTACTCCAGGTGTTTACCAAGACATTTGACTTAGTAAATAAACTTTGTTGGCACTTAGAAAATTTACTGACAAAATTTCCATCTGTCAATGGCACCATATTACTTGCATCCACACATAGGATGCCAATACAATAAAACAGTCTAGGTTCTGGGAAAATGAACACTAATGCCAGCTGAAAAGCTAGAAGCTGTGGTTAGATATTGTTTCATAATAGTAGCAATAGTGCTTTGTTATTCCCAACTGTCACATTTCTGGAAAGCTCAATCAACAAGCAGAAGAAGTGAGTCTCTTAAAAAACTTCAAAATGCCAGAGGAATAACGTCATGGAGAAACCAAATTGCAGAACCTCAAGAAGAAAAAAAGAAAGCAAATAATGAGGATTATAGCAGTTTCAGTTCAACTGGCAAAAAACAGTACCCAGCTGGTGTGGTGGACAAGGAAATCAGGAGCTATTTTCATTCTTGAGGACAATTCTGAAGTGCCAAGTGCCTCAAATTTCTCCTGCCTCTACTCTTAATTCTTTTCTCCTGTTTTTGATTGGCTCCCCTTCTGCTTTATCTCATTGTGTCTCACTGAAGGCACAGAAGTAGACAGCAGAGTCCTTCAGCTGACTGGCATCTTTCTCTAAATTGTACGTCCCATTTTTCTCTCCTTCATGGTGAGTAGCATAGAATCCTTGGCTATCCTTTTTATACTGGCTCAACAAGAGCTTCAGAGGCTGACCAGGGTGCTGAATGTACCAGTAGGTATCTCGGTAAGTTGAGCTACTAACTTCATAGGAACAACTGAGAGAGAGATGTTTTCCCTCAGTAACAGTCACAATGCCAGATGCTTGCTTTACCGACTGTCCTGTGCTTCTCCCTGGGCAGAAGATAATGCAGAAGTCACGAGATTAGCTGGAGAGGTGCACAAGTAGGTCTTTCTCGCGCTTTTCAGAAACAACCTTGCTGCTGCTTGCACTTATTTTCTTAATGTTTGCACACATCAGTGCTGATTTTGAGATCTAACCTGGATAATTTCCTTCCTGGTTTACTATTGTTTCCATCTTGCCCACCACCAAATACTCCAAAAACAGACATACAACTTTCTTTTCAGTTAAACACTTCTGTTCTGGCTTGCAATTCCTTGCAGATAATTCCCAGAAATCTTCCAGGGATTCTATTTTACCTGATTTCAAGGAACCCAAACAGAAGATTCACCCAGCCAAAAAACTGTAGTCTAATACTGTGAAGAAATAAATACTCACTTGAAAGTGAAATGATGATAATGATCAACAGAGGCCACAGCCACATTTTTCCAGATGAATAATGAGTTGCCAGCCCCAAAATGTTCTTTGGAGGACTTCAAAACTGGTGTAGTCACCTTCAGAGCTTCCCTGCCAACTTTGCTGTGAAGGGTTATATTTCACTTCACAAATACATTGGTTATTGCCATTTAAATTTGATGGTAAAAGGAAAAGAAACCACAGGATATGGTTCTTAGAGCATATGTACCAAAGAAGAGAACACGTGTGCCAGCTGGTAAGACTCATGTTGGCTCAAGATTGCCACCCTGTGTTTTAAAGTAGCTGTAAGGAAGCAGCTGAATTGAAGGAAGGATTTAAACATTGAAGGTGATTTCTGACACAGTTGGTGAGATGAAAGAAAGGGAGTTGGGATTATAAATAGATGAGAGAGAGAGAGAGAAAGAGAGAGTGAAAGAGAGAGAGAGAGAGAGAGAGAGAGAGAGAGAGAGAGAGAGAGAGAGAGAGAGAGAAAGAGAAAAGAGAGAGAAAGAGAGAGAGAGAGAGAGAGAAAGAGCCACATTTTTTAAAGATGAAGAATGGGGTACTACCCCCAAAATATTATTTGGAGGAGTTCAAAGATGGTGTAGTCAACTTCAGAGCTTCCCTGCCAACTTTGCTGTGAAAGGTATACAGCTCTTTCACGTCACAACTACATTGGTTATTGCCATATAATTTGGTGGTAAAAGGAAAAGAAACCACAGGATGTGGTTCACATAGATTTTGTACTACAGAAGGTAACATGTCCACCATCTGGTTGTCTAAAGATTGCCATGTTCTGTTTTAAAATAGGTGTAAGAAAACAGCCTGGCTGAAGGAAGGATCCACATGTTGAAGGTGATTTTGGAATGTCCAGACATTTTCCAGGGAATCCTACTCTACCGTACTGAGCATGTGATCCTCAATGGAACCACATCTACATGGAGGGAAGTGTGTAGTGGGGTTCCCCAGGGCTCTGTTCTGGGCCCAGTGCTCGTCAACATCTTCATCAACGATTTGGACAAGGGGATAGATGGGGAACTTATCAAATTTGCAGATGACACCAAGCTGGCAGGAATAGCCAACACTGCAGGAGACAGGCTTAAGATACAGAAGGTTCTGGACAGACTTGAACACCGGGCACTAACTAACAAAATGAAATTCAGTGGTGAAAAAAGCAAGGTTCTACATTTAGGCAAGAAAAACCAAATGCACAAGTACAGCATAGGTGGCACCATGCTCAATAGTAGTAACTGTAAGAGGGACCTCGGAATCCTAGTAGACAATCACCTAAATATGAGCCAGCAGTGTGCTGCAGCTGCCAAAAAGGCCAACACAGTGCTAGGCTGCATTAACAGAGGGATAGAATCAAGATCACATGAAGTGTTAATACCACTTTACAATGCCTTAGTAAGGCCACACTTGGAATACTGCATCCAGTTTTGGTCACCACAATGCAAAAAAGATGTTGAGACTCTAGAAAGAGTACAGAGAAGAACAAAAAAGATGATTAGGGGACTGGAGGCTAAAACATATAAGGAACGATTGCTGGAATTGGGTATGTCTAGTTTAATGAAGAGAAGGACAAGGGGGGACATGAAAGCAGTGTTCCAGTATCTCAGGGGCTGCCACAAAGAAGAGGGAGTCAAGCTATTTTCAAAGACGCCTGAAGGCAGGACAAGAAGCAACAGGTGAAAACAGAAATTAACCAGGTGGAAGAACAGAGAACTGAGATAAGAGGAGGGGGAGGGTAATATAAAATGTGAGTTGGAAAGAATCATTTTAGAGTCTGAAATGATTAATATGTAAAGATGAACCCTAATGTTCAAGGTGCTTTCGGATGGACAACTCACAGTACCATCCCTTCAATGATATGAAAACATTCTCTGCCATGATTTTGGAGACCAGTGCATCCAGATGTTGAGGTAACATCTGCTCTTATCCCAGGCCAGATGGTCATTCTTCTAGGTATCAGATGCCGAGGAACCTCTAGTCCAAGATATTCTGAAAGATTATCTGACTTTCTACATCTCAGTTCCACCCTGTGTTTTCAAGTAAGTGTGAGAAGGCAGATGGTTTGAAAGAAGGATCCCAGTGCTGAAGGAAATGAACTCTCCCTGTTTTCTCCCAGAGTAAAGACCAGGAAGGAGAAATGAACTTTCAGACTTGAAGATTCTGTAATCTTACAATAAAGTAGAATATAGGTTCATCCAGGTGTACTTCTTGTCTGGCCCACCTTGCAAGGCAGTAGCCAAAAGGAAGTGAAATATAAGAGACTTTCCTAAGAATTCTGCTTCTGAAAAAATAGGGATAAATTTTCATGTTCGTACTTAATCTAATCCTGCTTTTTTCATCTAAGGAACGAGAACCTAGCTGTTAATCCATCAAATAATAATAATTCAATCATTATAATTCAGGATCTGGAAAAAATTATGGCATAACCTGTCTATGGTACGCCAGGTGTTTACCAAGACATTTACTTAGTAAGTAAACTTTGTTGGCACTTAGAAAATTTACTGACAAAATTTCCATCTGCCAATGGAGGCATATTACTTGCATCCACACATAGGATGCCAATACAATAAAATAGTCTAGGTTCTTTTTGGAAAATGGACACGAATGCCAGCTGAAAAGCTAGAAGCTGTGGTTAGATATTCTTTCATCATAGTAGCTGGTTTGAAGGAAGGATCCCACTGTTGAAGGGAAGGAACGCTCCCTATTTTCTTGCAGAGTAAAACCAGGAAGGAGAAATGAACTTTCAGACTTGAAGATTCTGTAATCTTACAATAAAGTAGAATTAGTTCATCCAGGTGTACTTCTTGTCTGGTCTACCTTGCAAGCAGTAGAGAAAAGGTAGAGAGAAAACAAGAGAATTCTCTAAGCATTTTCCTGCTCAAAAAAGAGTAGGAAATTCTCATATTTCTTCTTAAGCTGATGCTGCTTTTCATTTAAGAAACCAGTATCTAGCTGCCAATCCATCAAATAATAATAATAATTCCTGTGTGAGCAGGGGGTTGGACTAGATAGGGGGAGAGGGGGCTTCCCACACTTCATAATAAGAAATGTGAGTCTGAAAGAATCGTTGTTGTTAAGTGAATCAATGGACAATAGCAAAATCCCCTGGTTCTCTGCTCTTAATACTTTTTCTCCTGTTTTTGATTGGCTCCCCTTCTGCTTCCTCTCACTCTTTCTCACTGAAGGCACAGAAGTAGACAGCAGAGTCCTCCAGCTGGATGGCTTGTTTCTGCATGTTGAAAGCCCCCTTTTTACGGGTTTTATTGTGAGTAGCCTGGAAACCTGGAGCCTTGTTGTCAATTTCATCCAACAAGATCTCCAGAGGCTGACCAGGAAGCTGAATATACCAGGATGGGTAATTATTGCCACTGTACGCTGCTTCATAGGAACATCTGAGAGAAATAGATTGTCCTTCAGTAACAGTCACAATGCCAGAGGTTTGGTTGACCAATTGACCCGTGCTTCCTCCTGAACAGAAGATAATAGAGAAGGGATGAAGTTAGCTGGGGAGGTGGACATGCAGATCCTTCTCCTAGTTTTCAGAAACAACCTTGGTGTTGCTTTGAGCTACTTTCTTGGTGTCTGCCCATATCAGTGTTAATTATGAGGGCTAACCTGGAAAAATCCCTTCCCAGTTTTATATTCTTTCCAGCGTGTCCACCACCAAGGACACTGAACACACACACACACACACACACACACACAGAGACACACACACACACACACACACACACACGCACTTTCTATTCCAGCAGATTACATCCATTGTTGTTCTTGCAGATAATTCCATACCAATGTCCCAAACATCTTCCAGGAGATCCTATTCTACCAGATTTCAAAGCACCTAAACAGCTCAAGTTATGGCCAGCCAAACCTATAATCAAAAATAGTGAAGGATAAAATGGACTTAAAAGTGAGATGATGATTATGAAGATGATGAAAAGAGGCCCCAGCAACATCTTTCCAGATAAGGAAGCGGTTATTTACCGCCCCTTTGGAGGACTTCAAAGCTGATGTGGTCACCTTCAAATCTTCCCAGCCAACTCTGCTGTGAGAAGTTACACAACTCTTTTCCTTCGAAAATAGATCAACTTAGGGTATCTAAATGTGATGGTAAAAGGAGACAAACCACAGGGTGTGGTTCACAGAGCATATTTTCTACAGCAGCTGAGGCTCATGTTGATTCAAGATTGCCACCTTATGTTATGAAGTAGGCATAGGAAGACAGCTGAGTTCAAGGAAGGATACCAGTGTTAAAGGGCCTTGGGAAAGGACCCTCCCTAGTTACTTGGCCTGTAACATCAATGGGGGACAAATAATAATAATAATAATAATAATAATAATAATAATAATAATAACAACAACAACAACAACAACAACAATAATAATGATAATAAAAAGTTGGAAAGGACCTTGGAGGTCATCGAGTCCAATCCCCTGCTCAGGCAGGAAACCCTATACCATTTCGGACAAATGGCTGTCCAGTCTCTTCTTAAAAACTTCCAGTGTTGGAGCATTCAAAGCTTCTGGAGGCAGGTTGTTCCACTGGTTAATTGTTCCAACTGTCAGGAAGTTTCTCCTTAGTTCTAGGTTGCTTCTCTCCTTGATTAGTTTCCATCCATTGCTTCTTGTCCTACCTTCAGGTGCTTTGGAGAATAGCTTGACTCCCTCTTCTTTGTGGCAGACCCTGAGATACTGGAACACTGCTATCATGTTCCCCGCTTGTCCTTCTCTTCGTTAAACTAGACATACCTAATTCCCGCAACCGTTCCTCATATGTTTTAACCGGTAATTGAGGGGCTGCCACAAGGAGGATGAGGTCAATTTATTTTCCAAAGCACCAGAAGGCAAGGATGTAAACTAATCAAGGAGAAAAACAACCTGGAATTAAGGAGAAACCTCCTAACAGTGAGGACAATTAACTAGTGGAACAGAAGTTGCCTTCAGAAGTTGTGGGTGCTTCATGACTGGACGTTTTTAAGAAAAGGGCGGACAGCCACTTGTCTGAAGTGATACAGGGTTTCCTGCTTGAGTAGGGTGCTGGACTAGAAGACCTCTAAGGTCCCTTCCAGCTCTATTGTGATGATGATGATGATGATGATGATGATGATGATTAATAGGGAGATAAGTGTTTCCAGAGGTTAGGTAACATTTCCTCTTATTCCATCCAACACAGGAATAACGTCACAGGAAAACCAAATTGCATAACATCAGGAAGAAAAAAGAAAGAAAGAAAGAAAGAAAGAAAGAAAGAAAGAAAGAAAGAAAGAAAGAAAGAAAGAAGGAAAATGAGGATTATAGCAACTTCAATTCAATTGGCAGCAACAGACTACTTCTCTGACCCAGTTGGTACGGTGGACAAGGAAATCAGGAGCTATTTTCAGTCTTGAGAAGAATTTTGACGTGCAAAATTCCCCTGTCTCTACACTATTTTTTTTCTCCTGTTTTTGATTGACTCCCCTTCTGCTTCATCTCATTGTGTCTCTTTGAAGGCACAGAAGTAGATAGCAGAGTCCTCCAGCTGGGTGGCCTCTTTCTCTAAATGGAAAGTCCCATTTTTCTTTCCTTTATCATGAGTAGCATGGAAGCCTTGGGCATCATTTTCATACTCTGTCAACAAGAGCTTCAGAGGTTGTTGAATGTACCAGTATGTGAAAAATGAGCCACTAATTTCTGCTTCATAGGAACAACTGAGAAAGACAGATTCTCTTTCTATCACTGTCACAGTACCAGATGTTTGCTTCACAGACTGTCCTGCACTTCTTCCTGGACAGAAGATAAATGCAGAAGGCATGAGGTTAGCTGCAGAGGTGCACAGGTTGGCCCTTTTCCCTCTCTTCAGAAAAAAATCTTGCTGCTGGTTGGACCTACTTTCATGCTGTATTGAAACATCGATGCTAATTTTCAGGGTTGCTATGGGCAAATTCCTTCCTTGTTTTATATTCTTTCATTCATACCTACCACCAAGCATACTGAACACACACAAACCATCACCTGCCTTCATTCCTATTAAATACTTCTGTCCATGTTTTTTGCAATATTTCTGTCTGTGTCCTTGCAATCCCTTGCAGACAGTTAATTTTCCAGACATTTTCCAGGTGATCCTACTCTACCTTATTTCAAGGAACCTGAACAACTGAATAAATTGCCTAGCCAAAACCAATAGCTCAACCTTCTGAGGAAATAAATACTTACTTAAAAGTGAGATGAGGATGATAAACAGCCACATGATTCCAGATGAAGAATAGGGTTAGTAACCAAAAATATATTTGGAGGATTTCAGAGCTGGTATATTCACCTTCAGAATTTCCTGGCCAACTTTGCTGTGGAAGAGACACAGAAATTTCATTTCAGAAAGAAGTGGGCTTCTCATATGTTAATTTGGTGGCAAAAAAAAAAAAAGACAAACCACAGGATATGGTTCACAGAGCATATGTGCTATACAGGATTTCATATGTGGCACTTGGTAAGACTCATGTTGCCTCAAGATTGCCACCATGTGTTTTAAAGGAGCAGTAAGAAAGAAGTTTGGTTGAAGGAAGGATCCCAGGGTTGAAAGTGATTTCTGAAAGAAAAATATATTATTGTCCAGGTGAATGGAGAGGAAACTGGGAGGATGTGAGAGGGAGAGAGAACTACATAATATGAAATCTGAGACTGAAAGAGTCACTGTTGTTAAGTGGATCAATTGACAATTGCAATATCTCCCTGTCTCTGCTCTTAATACTTTTTCTCCAGTTTTTGACTGGTTCCCCCTCTGCTTCCTTTCACTGTGTCTCGCTGAAGGCACAGAAGTAGACAGCAGAGTTCTGCAGCTGGGTGGCTGGTTTCTGCATGTTGAAAGTCCCTTTTTTGTCTTTTTTATGGTGAGTTGACTGGAAACCTTGCACACTGTAGTCAATTTCATCCAACAAGTGCATCCAGATGTTGAGGTAACATCTGCTCTTATCCCAGCCCAGATGGTCATTCTTCTAGGTATCAGATGCCGAGGAACTTCTAGCCCAAGATATTCTGAAAGATTATCTGACTTTCTACATCTCAGTTTCATTCTGTGTTTTAAAGTAAATGTGAGAAGGCAGATGGTTTGAAGGAAGGATCCCACTGTTGAAGGGAAGGAACCCTCCCTATTTTCTCCCAGAGTAAAGACCAGGAAGGAGAAATGAACTTTCAGACTTGAAGATTCTGTAATCTTACAATAAAGTAGAATATAAATTCATCCGGGTGTACTTCTTGTCTGGCCCACCTTGCCAGGCAGTAGCCAAAAGGAAGTGAAATATAAGAGACTTTCCTAAGAATTCTGCTTCTGAAAAAATAGGGATAAATTTTCATGTTCGTACTTAATCTAATCCTGCTTTTTTCATCTAAGGAACGAGAACGTGGCTGTTAATCCATCAAATAATAATAATTCAATCATTACAATTCAGGATCTGGAACAAAATTATGGCATAACCTGTCTATGGTACTCCAGGTGTTTACCAAGACATTTGACTTAGTAAATAAACTTTGTTGGCACTTAGAAAATTTACTGACAAAATTTCCATCTGTCAATGGCACCATATTACTTGCATCCACACATAGGATGCCAATACAATAAAACAGTCTAGGTTCTGGGAAAATGAACACTAATGCCAGCTGAAAAGCTAGAAGCTGTGGTTAGATATTGTTTCATAATAGTAGCAATAGTGCTTTGTTATTCCCAACTGTCACATTTCTGGAAAGCTCAATCAACAAGCAGAAGAAGTGAGTCTCTTAAAAAACTTCAAAATGCCAGAGGAATAACGTCATGGAGAAACCAAATTGCAGAACCTCAAGAAGAAAAAAAGAAAGCAAATAATGAGGATTATAGCAGTTTCAGTTCAATTGGCAAAAAACAGTACCCAGCTGGTGTGGTGGACAAGGAAATCAGGAGGTATTTTCACTCTTGAGGACAATTCTGAAGTGCCAAGTGCCTCAAATTTCTCCTGCCTCTACTCTTAATTCTTTTCTCCTGTTTTTGATTGGCTCCCCTTCTGCTTTATCTCATTGTGTCTCGATGAAGGCACAGAAGTAGACAGCAGAGTCCTTCAGCTGACTGGCATCTTTCTCTAAATTGTACGTCCCATTTTTCTCTCCTTTAAGGTGAGTAGCATGGAATCTTTGGGTATCCTTTTTATACTGGCTCAACAAGAGCTTCAGAGGCTGATCAGGGTGCTGAATGTACCAGTATGTATCTCGGTAAGCTGAGCTAGTAACTTCATAGGAACAACTGAGAGAGAGATGTTTTCCTTCAGTAACAGTCACAATGCCAGATGCTTGCTTCACCGACTGTCCTGTGCTTCTCCCTGGGCAGAAGATAATGCAGAAGTCACGAGATTAGCTGGAGAGGTGCACAAGTAGGTCTTTCTCGCGTTTTTCAGAAACAACCTTGCTGCTGCTTGCACTTACTTTCTTAATGTTTGCACACATCAGTGCTGATTTTGAGATCTAACCTGGATAATTTCCTTCCTGGTTTACTATTGTTTCCATCTTGCCCACCACCAAATACTCCGAAAAGAGACATACAACTTTCTTTTCAGTTAAACACTTCTGTTCTGGCTTGCAATTCCTTGCAGATAATTCCCAGAAATCTTCCAGGGATTCTATTTTAACTGATTTCAAGGAACCCAAACAGAAGATTCACCCAGCCCCCCTCCAAAAAAAACTGTTGTCTAATACTGTGAAAAAATAAATACTCACTTGAAAGTGAAATGATGATAATGATCACCACAGGCCACAGCCACATTTTTCCAGATGAAGAATTAGTTGCAACCCTCAAAAAGTTCTTTGGAGGACTTCAAAACTGATGTAGTCACCTTCAGAGCTTCCCTGCCAACTTTGCTGTGAAGGGTTATACAGCTCTTTCACTTCACAAATACATTGGTTATTGCCATTTAAATTTGGTGGTAAAAGGAAAAAAAAAACACAGGATATGGTTCATAGAGCATATGTGCCAAAGAAGAGAACACTTGTGGCAGCTGGTAAGACTCATGTTGGCTCAAGATTGCCACCCTGTGTTTTAAAGTAGCTGTAAGGAAGCAGCTGAATTGAAGGAAGGATTTAAACATTGAAGGTGATTTCTGACACAGTTGGTGAGATGAAAGAAAGGGAGTTGGGATTATAAATAGATGAGAGAGAGAGAGAGAAAGAGAGAGTGAAAGAGAGAGAGAGAGAGAGAGAGAGAAAGAGAAAAGAGAGAGAAAGAGAGAGAGAGAGAGAGAGAGAGAGAGAGAGAGAGAGAGAAAGAAAGAAAGAAAGAATGAATGAATTATAACAACTTCAGTTCAACTGGCAACAAAACACTACTTCTCTGACCCAGTTGGTATGGTGGATAAGGAGATCAGGAGCTATTTTGAAGTCTTGAGAAGAATTTTGACGTGCATGTGCCACAAATGCAAAATTCCCATCTCTGCACTAAATTGTTTTCTCCTACTTTTGATTGACTGCCCTTCTGCTTCATCTCATTGGATCTTTGACAGCACAAAATAGGAGCCAGAAGTGTGCTGCAGCTGCCAAAAAAGGCCAACACAGTGGTAGGCTGCATTAACAGAGGAATAGAATCAAGATCACATGAAGTGTTAATACCAATTTACAATGCCTTGGTAAGGCCATACTTGGAATACTGAATCCAGTTTTGGTCACCGCAATGCAAAAAAGATGTTGAGACTCTAGAAAGAGTACAGAGAAGAGCAACAAAGATGATGAGGGGACTGGAGGCTAAAGCATATAAGGAACGGCTGCTGGAATTGGGTATGTCTAGTTTAATGAAGAGAAGGATGAGGGGGGAACATGATAGCAGTGTTCCAGTATCTCAGGGGCTGCCACAAAGAAGAGGGAGTCAAGCTATTTTCCAAGGTGCCTGAAGGGATGACAAGAAGCAACAGGTGGAAATTAAGCAAGGAGAGAAGCAACCTAGAACTAAGGAAAAACTTCCTGACAGTTAGAACAATTAACCAATGGAACAACCTGCCTCCAGAAGCAGTAAATGCTTCAACACTGGAAGTTTTCAAGAAGAGACTGGACAGCCATTTGTCTGAAATGGTGTAGGGTTTCCTGCCTAAGCAGGAGGTTGGACTAGATGACCTCCAAGGCCCCTTCCATCTTTATTATTATTATTATTATGGATCATCGCACAATAAGCCAGATGTTCAGACTGGATTTGGCATTTTGTCTACCTATCAAGTCCTTACCCAGGACCTGGGATAGGCAGATGTGGATGTTTGATGGTATTACAGATATCGTCGCAGGATGGAAGCAGTTCCTAATAAGGCCGCCTTTTGCAATTGACTAATAGCGAATTTGTCAATGCCAATGGTGTTCAAGTGGTGCTCCAGTTGTTTCGGGATTGCACCCAAGGAGCCTATGACTATTGGTACTACCCTTGCTTGCTTTTGCCACAGTCTTTCTATTTCTATTTGTAGGTCTTTGTATTTTGTTATCTTCTCCAGTTCTTTCTCTTCTATTCTGCTGTCTCCAGACACTGCCACGTCCACTATCCAGACTTTTTTGTCTTTCTTATCGATAATTGTTACGTCTGGGGTGTTATATTGTTGTTTTTGTTGTTTCTTGTTGTTGTTGTTATTATTATTATTATTATTATTATTATTATTATTTAGCACTTAGCTGCATAGCCATGCATAGATTTTAAGATTCCTTGAAATAGTTGGATTTGCATCCAGATCAACCTTGCAATGGAACTGAGATGTAGAAAGTCATATTAACCCTTCAGGATAGAAGTTCCTCATCATCTCACACCAAGAATAATGACCAATTAGGTTGGGACAAGAGGAAATGTTATCTAACCATCTGGAGTCACTGTTGGAAGAAAACTCTGGTCCGGTTCCAAGGTGGGAGAAAGATGCAGGAGGCAAGCTGCAGTTGTAAAGGAGGTCTCTATTTATTTGGTGGCCAGGAACAACAGTGACAACAGCATGTTTCTGGGGTGGCTGACAAATTGGGATTGAGAGTGGATGGGCTTTTATACAATTTTGGGGCTTTGTGATTGAGATGCTTGTTCCTGTGCAAGAATGTGTCCTTAATCTTTGAATGGCTGTTGCCAGATTCCTATGGGGTCATGTAGGGGTCATGACTGGCTCTACAGGCAACAGCGGCCTTCCTACACCACTTATCTCCATAGGCATGCTGAGATTATTAATAATAATAATAATAATAATAATAATAATAATAATAATAATAATTTCAAGGAACCTAAATACTGACTAGATGCCTAGCCAAACCCTGTAATTCAACATTTTGAGGAATTAAATACTTAATTAAAAGAGAGATGATGCTGATGAATAGTCACATTTTTCCAGATGAAGAATGAGGTTAGTAACCAAAAATATCTTTGGAGGACTTCAAAGCTGGTCTAGTCACCGTCAGAGTTTCCCTGCCAAATTTGCTGTGGAAGAAGCGCAGAATTTTCAGTTCAGAAAGGAATGGGCTTCTACTATGTAAATTTGGTGGCAAAAGAAAGCCCAACCACAAGATATGGTTCACAGAGCATATGTGCTACACAGGATATCACATGTGTCACCTGGTAAGACTCATGTTGTCTCAAGATTGCCACCGTGTGTTTTAAAGGAGCTGTAAAAAAGGCACTTTGCTTGAAGGAAGGATCCCATTGTCGAAGGTGATTTCTGAAAGAAAAATATATTATTGGCCGGCCAAATGGAGAGGAAACTGGGAGGATAAATAGATGTGAGAGGGAAAAAGAAAGAAAGAAAGAAAGAAAGAAAGAAAGAAAGAAAGAAAGAAAGAAAGAAAGAAAGAAAGAAAGAAAGAAAGAAAGAGAAAGAGAGAGAGAGAGAGAGAGAAAGAAAGAAAGAAAGAAAGAGAGAGAGAGAGAGAGAGAAAGAGAGAGAAAGAAAGAAAGAAAGAAAGAAAGAAAGAACCATAATATGAAATGTGAGTCTGAAAGAATCATTGTTATTAAGTGAATCAATTGATAATTGCAAAATCCCCCTGTCTTAATACTTTTTCTCCTGTTTTTGACTTTTTTCTGCTTCCTCTCACTATATCTCACTGAAGGCACAGAAGTAGACAGCAGAGTCCTGCAGCTGGATGGCTGGTTTCTGCATGTTGAAAGTCCCTTTTTGTCATTTTGGTAATGAGTTGCCTGTAAACCTTGAGCATTGTTGTCAATTTCGTTCAACAAGATCTCCAGAGGCTGATCAGGATGCTGAATGTAGCAGAATGGGTAATTTATACTAAATTGTCCTTCATAGGAACAATTGAGAGAAACAGGTTGTTCTTCGGTAACAATCAGAATTCCAGATGTTTGCTTCAGTGACTGTCCTCTGCTTCCTCCTGGACAGAAAATAAGAGCAAATTCACGAGTTTAATTAGAGAGATGGACAAGTAAGTCCTCCTCCCACTTTTCAGAAACAATCTTGCTGCTGACTGGATTTACTTTCTTGCTATCGTGAGGATTACCTTCCTTGTTTGATATTCTTTCAACCATCAAATACACTGAACACGCGCGCGTGCGCGCACACACACACACACACACAAGCTTCATTACAGCTGAATACTTCTGTTTGACTCTTTATATTCTTTGCAGAAAATCTACTGACGATTACAAGATATTTTTCCAGAGGATTCTATTCTACTTGATTTCAAGGAACCTAAACAACTCAAGATATGCCCAGCCAAAACCTGTAGTCTAATATTGTGAACACGTAAATACTTACTTAAAAGTGAGATGGTGATGATGATGAACACAAGGCACAGCCACATTTTTCCTGAAGAAGAATGGGGGAACTACCCTCCAAAAAATTCTTTGGGGGAGTCCAAAGCTGGTGTAGTCACCCTTCAGAGCTTCCCTGCCAGCTTTGGTCTAAAAGCGACTTAGGGACTCTACAGCTCTTTCCCTTCAGAAAGTAATGGGGTTCTAACATGTAAATTTGGTGGCAAGAGGAAGACAAACCATAACAAAGTTATGTTTCCCTGAGCATACGTGCAACAGAAGAGATCATGTATGTCATCTGGTAAGACTCATGTTATCTCAAGATTGCCACCGTGTGTTTTAAAGTAGGTATAAGAAAGCAGCTCCTCTAAAGGAAGGATCCAAGGGTTGAAGGTGATTTCTGAAAGAAACAGAAATTAACCAGGTGGAAGAACAGAGAACTGAGATAAGAGGAGGGGGAGGGTAATATAAAATGTGAGTTGGAAAGAATCATTTTAGAGTCTGAAGTAATTAATATGATGAACCCTAATATTCAAAGTGCTTTCGATGGACAACTCACAATACCATCACCTAAATGATATGAAAACATTCTCTGCCATGATCCATGCATCCAGAGGTTTAGGTAACATTTGCTCTTATCCCAGCCCAGATGGTCATTCTTCTTGGTATCAGATGCTGAGGAACCTCTAGTCCAAGATGTTATGTCCCGAGCCTTGCAAACAGCTCGGGCGTTTGCAGGCAGTCCCAGGCAGGTGCAAGGCTGCCCGGGACCAGACAGGCTGTCACCAGCGCCGTGCGCATGCGCGGGTGCTGGCGCGGGAAAAGTAACACATTTACCTGGGAGTTGCCTATATAAGAGGCTGCGAGCGTTTGGGAAACTTAAGGAAAGCCATCTACTTGTAAGCTGAACGCAGAATAAAGAAAACTGAGAACTCCAACTGCTTCTCGTGTCTGCTTTGCGCCAAGGACTCAACACTGGCGACGAAGGTGGGATTGCCTTACACCGCCTGGAAAGGAAGAAGTGTAAGCTTACCCAAGTGAGTCCTGAGCGGCGGAACGGCGTCGACTCAGCAGCTACCCGCCAATCCAGTGCGCATTCGGGGGTAGGCTGGCTGATAGACCCGTCTCCTGAAGATGGCAAAGGTCGGAAGGCTTTCGGAGTTCGACGTCT